ATCATTGGCCTCCCAGCCCCCTGTATCTGGAGATATGCCCTGGAGACTTCTGTTCATAGCACGTGAAGAATTAGAGCAACGTTCCTCAACATATCATGTCACTGGGCTGGCAGAGGCCCAGGACTCTCCACTCCCAGGCTGCCAGCATGACACCTTTCACTAGCAGAGCACCCCTGACCCACACATCTTTCTCAGACGTCCAGAGCCAGACAGCATAGCCAGAGAGGTGACAGAAACACTCACCTCACCTGAGTGCATGACAACACACCCACTGGCCAGCTCTGCTTGGCAACATAGTTCAGTCCTGGTTTCTGTTAGTGCAGTCCAACACTGGGGGTAAATATTTACCTCATCCTAATTATTGGAAAAGATAAATGGAGAGAAAAATGAAGGTAGACGAGCCTTTTCATGTTAAACCAGCTGGACATCCTACTCCCTCTGGCACACCAGTTATTTCTTTGTTTCTACTTCTACAGAAAGCAGAACTAGCTTTCTGGTCTCAGGGATTTTTTTTATACTGACCCCATCTCAGGTTCATTGCAGTAAGTCAGTTACAAGGGTATCAAAGGTGTATATGCCCCGTGGGAACTCCAAAGTCTAACTGATGACTACTAACATTTCCCCTCTGCGTTTGAAAATCTAAGAGATATGATCATCCTGAAGTGTTGATGGAAAACCGCAGGTGACAGTCTCCATTTTCACTCACGTTTTATGATAATTTAAAATAACATAGTGGTAGTAAATGTGTTCACGAAATGACATGATGAGGGGGCAACTCGTCCCATTGCCCTGATGACAGGTAGGGTTAATGTCAGCAATGTGAAGGATAATTTATCTTCTCTGTCAGTGCAGCTGCTTCACATAATTTTATCCTAATAGTGAATATCACATATCTTTGCCAAGTTAATTTAAAGGAGTAGAAACAGAACACTGCATTCAGATATAGTTTACTGTGATCACTTCTATTCTCAGTGTAATGAATTCTCTAAATTCGTGAATTTATAAGCTTTCTGGTGCAGTTTTATTCCTATGAACGTCTGAATAAAGTTGGTAAATTTATTGTCTACTGACAGGAGCCTCCTCTGGGCATTCTAATAAAAGATGTGGCCTTTGGAAATCAGGATAAAGAATCTAAGTTTTTGTTTGAAGTCTTTGCACATATTTTTAAAGCAACACCCACATGGCATTCAGCTTGTTCATACACATTGAGACAAGCCCTTTGGAAATCTACTCTTGCTGGAATAAGGAGATGGACAGTAATGGAGCCAGTGACACTGACTTTCTAGCATGAGAAAGAACAACCTCTAACTGCTCCCACCATCCGGATAGAACCTTTCCCCTACAGGCAGAAAGTTGCTCCTTTATAAACAGCTCCATGAGAGGTCAAGGTGACTCATCCTTCTTTTTGTCTCACAGGTATTTATTGCTTAAGAGAAAGTTGTTACAGAAAAGGTAGAGTCCTTGGAAAGAGCCTCTGAGATGCAAAGTTGATAGACCATCCCCAGAGAAGCTGCAGGATCCCTGATGACTGCTGCTGTTTTGCAGAAAGGTACATACTGAGGATCCCAATCCCCATGTTCTCTGGGCCATCCACAGAGCTGATTGCATTTCACTCAGCAGAAACATATTTGTTTTTTGTTGTATAATTTTGCAAAGTCCTGTGGCTAAAGTAAAAGAAAAAAAAAAAAAGAGAGATAAAAATAAACCTTTAGGAATGCAGAGTACAAAAAAGTTTAGAAAGATCCAGAGGTGAGGGAATGAAAGGGAGCAGAAGCTAATGGGGATTTAACCTCTGTAGCTCCAATAGTTCTGCCACAGAACTGCAGAAGTAGATGAGAAAGCAAGAAATTCAAACCAAGGGTTCAGAAATAGAGCAACATGGAAAAAGGCACCAAATGCAAATCTATCACCCACTGGGTGGCCTGGATCCAACTTCATGGAAAGTGGCAATCAATCAGCTTTTGACAGTGGTGTTTAATGTTACTTAGCTAAGTGGCAGATTCATAAGCAAAACTGGCTTACTGAGAAAGCGACAAACTCAAACTTTGAAGACATTAATTAGGAACAAATCTGAGAAGCGTTTTCAGGGGAGGTCATGTTCAAAGTTGCAGCGTTGGGCATTGCTCCTGCAGGATTTAACACTGAGCCCACGAGGAATGGTGCAGACTTTAACAAGTTTTTCCATGGGTCTGTACAGGTGCTGATGGGTCCAGGTCCCAGTGCAGACGTGAAACTGTGCTCCCAGTGTGAGATTACTTCAACAGCTGAATATAAGCATAGTCAAAATGCTTGACAATTTTGCAAAGTTACTTTGCCAAAACATGAAATTTTCACAACCAAAGAGCACAAGATTAGCTAGCACCAGGATGTAGAAGTGGCCTGACTAGCTCTATAGTTTCACAAGTAGTTTAACGTGCAGAAACGGAGTAAAAAAAAAAAAGATTAAAAAATAAAAGTATATGCAGGTATATGTCTCCTGTTACTGAGTGGGAGGTAATGCAAACAGGAAGTTTGAACTGATGGAGAGAACTGCCAGATATACAAGGGAGACCAATTAAATGCTTGTAGTAAGGCTACTGCAAAATGCCAGACTCAGGAAACTGAGGAAGTTCTTAAGGAAATACCTGGGCATGTCATTTGGCCTTTTAGAAGCAATTCACAACAGTAAAACCTGTTAAATATATCCAAGGGTGTGTTAAGATGACAGACTTTTTCCCCTCAACTTCCCAGAACCTTTTAAAAATTCAGATTTCATCTAGCAAGTATCTGCTACAGCTAATATTCCCAGGTATTGCCAGAGCTAATCTACTTTTTTTTTTTTAACACACCTACTAGGGAATCCATTTTTATTCTTCATCAGAGGCCATGTTTTAATGATTTTCTGGTCTGGAAGGTAGTCTTTGCATAGAAAAATCCCATTCTTCTACCTAGACAAGCACCCTGATCATTTCTACAACAAATAAACTCAAGCAAACCTGTGTTTTAGAGCAATGTCATGTTCTGGGTTGGAAGAAGGGTCTCCTATACTCTACTGGTATCTGTAGATACAGGATTCTGAGACAGCCACATGTGAATGACTTTGACTTATCTGAGGCAAACATCACCAGACCCTCACACAGCTGGGGACATGAGCTAGTGTAAGACTACACCAAGGAACAGGAGATATGAGAGGGGCATAAATATGAGTGAGTGATATAGGTTCTTTTGCTCAAATCTCATGGCCAGTTTTCACCTAGACTGAGGTGTACCTATTTTTTGCTATATACAGAGTAACCAGGAGAACACTCAGACCAAGAGATACTTGGGAATTATGAAGCTAGAGCTATTACATAAACACAGTAGCCATTATCCCTTTAAATATGATGAAATCTCATTTTTGATGGCTACAAGTTTATTAGGTGAGAAGATGCTTCTTCTGCAGGCATATTGTTCTACACTCATGTTCACTCAGAATCATTGGGCATTTCTAAAATCAGACTCTACTCAGAAACATGCTGGTACTCAGTTGGATATTGCTAATATTTAGATGGCTCCCTCCACAACAGTATTATAGCACCTGGCAAACATTAATCACAGCACCCTGTGTAACTGTAAACACATTGTAGCTAAGGAAAGGGAGCAGAAGCAGCCCTCATCCAAACAGGAAATTCACACTGGAGAGGTAAATTCATCCAGGGTATCTCAGATCTTCAGCTAGTTCTTAAACAATAGATTATACACCTCCTAAGCTCTTGTGTAAACCACGATATTTTTCAATATTGCTGAAAGTAATTTCTTTGTGAACTTCACATGCAACAAGAATATATTGCAATGCTTTCATATGTAGAGCAAACATCAGGCTTTCAGAGAAAAACATGCAAAGTGAAAATTATTTTCTCAAAACAAAGTATGACACATTAGGAATTCTCCTGAACAATGACAATATGCCACTGCTTCTCTCCCAGAAAACACCACTTAAGTGAAATAAGAGGAAAAAAGTGTCTGACTATCAAAAACCAGAAGTCAAATGTTTCTGTCAGAAGCCATCAGAACTGAAACGTTATAGAAATTCTGTTGATCAACAAAACAGGATGTTGATCAAGCAGATTTGCTTCTCAATTTAATATTGATAGAATACTTTTATCCCACACACACACAAAAAAAAGGCGTCTACTTTCATAACTGGCAGCTTTTGGCCTGTACATCAGAGTAGTAAAGAGATGGCTACCTCTCAAAGTCACTACAGAAGGTAGCAATATCTGCAGCATTTGAGATTTAGTTTTATCCACAGCAAAAACCAAGGACAGTACACGTATGAAGCAAGTGGTGATAGTCAGGAATTAAGAAACTAAATACAGTTCACAAAGTAGTCTAAAAAAAATAGAGACAAAGCAAGAAATAAAAGCAATATGAATGAGGAAGTGAAGGTAGTGCACAAAGCAGTCTGCGATCTCACAGGGGAAATACATTTGGCCAGACTTGCTGGAACGCACACAGGGTAACATCATTACTTGAAAACTGCATATGAGCTACCAGTGTCACCCTTGTAAAAGAGAAGCTGCTAAAAAATGAGAATTGCAGCTGAATCAAATGCAGCCATACTATAAACACTGCATTTTAGCAAAGCCAGACATAGATGTGTCTGGAGACTCAAAGGAAAAATTAATCTAGTAAACAGCAGAGACAAAAATTTCAAGTATTTGTTACGTTATTCCTTTGTTAGTAAGGACTCTAGACCAAACAAAACCCAGTATCACAAAGACAGCTTTAGAAAGATATACCTGACACAGACAGAACAGAATTCACCATAAATCTATGACAACCAGGTAAAATCTTGAGGTCACTGATATATAGCCATTTCTTTCTGCTGCTTGTGATAAAGGAAAAAGAAACTTTTTTACTGAGTTTGTACTTCAGGTTTTCTACACCTGCTTTCCTACACAGGCAACAGAAGGAAAAGTTCCCAGTCTTTCCCTGTTCTACCCAAATCAGAAAATATTACAGATATAGTTCCCTCTTACCTTTTGAACTTCAGTTTGAACCTGTTTGACATTGATATTTCCAACCACAGACTGTTTTCTGGTCTTTATGGAAGGTCACAAATAATCTTCAGTCTCACTGCTCACACAGAAAACATCTTCAAGAAGTGAAGACTGCTGCCTGTAGGGAGTCTAGGATGGGCTCTTTCCATTGTTTTGCTCAAAAGGCTGCTGGGTCACCAAGGCAGAAAATGTGGTTCTGCTCCATCTTCCAGAAAAGAATTCCCAGCACACAGAAATAATTTAAGACTATTTCAGAGCACAAAGAAGAAAATTCTGATTTACTAGAGATGTCTACACCTGCAACTAACCTTATTCTGTTAAGGTAAAAATCTATGTGCCTAATTTAAGCCTTTGATATAAAGGCTTTATAAATCCATAGCAAGTCCAAGAGGGGAAAAAATATCAGGATATACACTCATTGTAATTAATAAAACCAGATTTTACCATTTCAAAATGCATTCTCTCAGATGCATCACATTTGCTTTAACATTCCTGTAGGAATGCTAAGAGACTAGTTGTTATGGGCTTTTAAAGCTAATATCATATTAGTTTTAGTTGATGAATAATATGAACTGACAGACTGCACACAAGATGTCGATAAGCAAAATGAATATTTAGAGAGAAAAGGTATCTGAACTTTGTAATGTGGCCTCAGGAGTTACATACCAAAGCTTACATATTCATGAAAATAATTATTGCACGAGGCAAAAAAAAAAAAATCACCTTAACAGCACAATTCAAAGGAGATATGCTAATAAGTTTGCTGTGATAGACAGGGGATAACTATGGTCTTAGTTAGAAGTCATGTTTTCCTTTCCATCCTTTTAATAATATGTTTAAACTCTAAGATCCTGTGACAAAAAATGCTACTTCTCCACAGAAGGAGCACAATCATCACAAGCTGCCTAAAAGCAGAGAGAAAGGATCCCACCATTTCAGAGTTTCTTTTCAGTGCCCAGTTAATAGTGTACTCTGGGTGCCCATTAGAATATTCTGTGGTACTGGAGTGGAAGCCTTAGGTGCCCAGTAGGGATTGAAGTCACTGTCAATTCATATCACCTACTGGATGGTCATCAACTTGCAGAAAGTAGTACTTATTCTCAAAGCAATTACATTAGAGCAGATGAAAGACTGGATACTCCCTTTAGAAATCAGAGAGATATTTTTAGTTCAATCATACAGCAAAATCAGTACCTCAGGTAAAGGGTGGATTTGCAAATCACAAGGTTTTGGCTGTGGTTCAGATCATCTCCCTTATTCAGCAACAGATTTATTCCTGAGGTTAACCTTTAGTATGCTCAACATGCTTCACTGAATAGCACAGACCTGCACAAGTGATAGAAAAAGTAAGTGTAAGTATGAAACAAAGAGAAGCATTGCTACTGCATGGATTGCTTTCAAATTCCTCACTTAGTATGACATTTTAAATCAAAGTTCCCTGAATCACCTGTGAAGCTATCCAGGCAAATTCTGAAGTTAATTCATTGGAGGAAGGGGTCTCAGACATATGAGAGTACAAAATTTTCCATGCATGCTCATACATTCACATATAAATAAATGCAATCAGGCATTAGAAACAGTTGGGAACATTCTTCAGGAAGGCAGAGAAATGCCACAAGTTCGATGCATCAAAGGAGAACTACAAGAATAATAGAGCTGACCATTTCAGTCCTCTCAACTATAGTATTTTCCACAAATGTCTGGTAAGCTTTTTACTCCTTTTGTAATGGGATGTTGACAAATGAGTATATTATTCCCTGCAATAAGATGCGATGCATTAAGTCTTTGAAAGAACCTCCTATAATCGTTTAAAAAACCATGGAATAAAAATTTTATTTAGACTCCTTTATAGACAACAAAACCTATCCAGCTCCAATAACCTCTCCTTTCTGCACCACTCATACAATATGAACAGATTCCAGTGCTACACAGTTTTCCATTCAGAACCACCCGTTAAAGTAGCAGTTACACTTCCTCCCTCGAACTCTGTTTTCATAATATTTGTGTGCCAGGTGACTGTAAAATTGTGAAACTGAATCAGGAATAGTGTAAAGAAGCACCAGTACTTCCATGTATTGGAAGCCACTAAGGTGCAATAAAGCTTTTTTAAATAAAACCTCTAAATTTAAGTGCTGATCTGAAGCATATCTTAAGACTCATCCTGCAGATCTTGTAAGATGAAACATTGCAGAGTTCTAGGTAGCTGCAGGCAGGCCAAAACAAAAGCTCTGCCCATCTTGCAAACTGACTGAATATGTTAGCATATGTTCAGCACTAGGCTAAGATAATCTCCACGATCTATTAGGCAGTTTGCCTCATCCTTCTAAGCTTGTACCATGATAATTCAAGCCTGAATCTCCTTCCAAATGACCATATAAAAGGTACTACTCAGTTTAAACTGGAGTTCAACTGTAAGAAGATAGTAGGATTAAGCTATATGGTCCAGACTCCTAACAGCAATTTAATGGCTAATTCCCCTTAGAGTTGTAAACATAGTACTCAAAAATGCACTTACAAATTATTCACCTCTCACACACATGGCTGGAAAATATGTGAAAAACGTTTTCCTTGCAGGAAAACTAACACTTCTATTTCCAGTAGGACCAGATACAGCACAGAAAAACAGGAATATTGTAGCTGCTTTGCACTTCTTCATTTCAGAGTAGCACAAACTCTCTTACAGACAAACCCATTATTATTTAAGTCAGATCCAAATCTGGACCCAAAAACTAAGTGGTACCTAACAGGTGAGTTTCCAGGGTCATCTTCTTGCAATCCAGTCTTTTTACATCAGGTAAAATATGACTACAAATCTTTTGGATGCCAGCCAAAACTCTAGAATTCAGCCAGCATTGTTGGCTGTTGAATGGTTTTAAAAGTGGGTTAAGTTGCCATTGTCCCTTTAGCTCAATAGTCTTTAAAGAAGTGTCACTACTAAAAACAAAATTTCATTAGCAACAAAACAATCAGACTTGGACATCAGATGTTTAGCTTACATGTAGCATAGATGGAGGTGGAAGATGTGAAATAGGGAACTATGTATAGGAAATGAGGTGATTTCCTCTATCTTCTCTCTGGCTTTCGCATCTGAGAGATGCCCTGAGTATTTGAGATGAATATTGTAGCAATTGGGAAGGACTCCTGTTATTAAGTTAAAGGGTAATATTGCCTTTACTGTGTCTTTTAAACCTGTAATCTTTTACTTCCACTTGTAATACAGTACTTCAGTCTCAATAGAAACATCTTCCCTTTGTTGGAGCGCTGGGTACCTGAGGGAAGGGCTGAAAATTAGCATGTTGGGAATAAACAGCCCCCATTGAGGCAGCAGATAGAGATTTTTCTGAATGCAGAATGTAGAGACTGGACAATGTTCTGTTGATCCATAGGGTGTCCCAGGGGACAATGGCACCAGCTGGGAGATTGTGGGCAGCCATTCCCCCAGGCAGGGACAACAGAGTGTTTTCCCTCTTGAAAGAAATGAGTACAAGAGTCAACCCACAGTTCCAGACAAACCCTGATGTATCAAAAGCATTTTTATAGATTAGTAGGAGGTGTCTGAGCTGTAGCTCCTAGTTCATCTCCCCTATGGAGCAAGCTCTATATTCCACAATACAATGGTGATTTAGAGTGAATTGAGTTAGCTGTTTTCAATTAGCAGATTAATGATCACTTTATATCAGCAGAGAAACTGGGGGGATGTAGCAGCATCTCTTGCTGATTTAAAAACCTGTTTAACACGTGAAACATTTAAGTTTATATTCACATAGAAGGAATTCAAGCTTGAGTTATATTCAGTTTCTATACCTGAGCTGGAGTGAGCTATGGAAATGTCATGCCTGCCCCAGATCTGCTTCTGCACACAAAGTGCTGATATATTCTGAATCTTCACAAAGAACACAGCAGTCAGAAATAGGTTTTGACCAAGCATAGGAGTGTCTCAATTTTGAGGGCATCCTTATCAGTTTTTGAGGGTGGGGTGGGAGTAATCTTTGGGCAGATGGAGAAACCTGCGTGTTAATGATTGCCAAGTGTATGTTTTGAAGATTGGCTTTGAGGTTAATGCAGATGCTCCTTGAGGGACATCTAAGCTTTGGTGCACATCTCTAGTTAACATCTGAAGAGCCCAGATGGGCTGTCAAAAAATTGGTGTGGATTTTTATTTTGCAGATGAAATAAAATTTCTTCTCCATCACTGCTCTTATGGTTGTAGACTGTTGCATAGTCAGCAATCAGATAAAACAAAAAGCAGCTATAGATTCAAGACTAACCTTAGGATTTATGCACTTGGAAGCTGCCATTTTAATACAACTATTCCTTTGTTGCAAAATTTGCTTTGCATGAAACAGCACTATTTACACGCTAAAAATGTAAAAAATGTCATGTTTTTATATAAAACTATCTTGACCTTTTCTGTTTTATTAAGTTTTGTGTCTTTAAAATTGAGTTTTCTAAATTTGTCCCATTTTTGACAGAAAATATTTTATGCCAAACTGTTTTGACCCAGTTTTGAGTTCCCAATAAAACAAAATGGAACATCACTGGAACAGGCTCCTAGAGAGGTGATCAGTGTCCCCAGCCTTTAAGAGGCATTTGGACAATGGCCTTAACAACTTTAACTTTTGTTCAGCCCTGAATTGGCCAGGTAGTTGGACTAGATGATCACATTCCAACTGAAATATTCTATTCTAACTTAACTCTGCCCAACACTACTAAAACCAAGATGGTGTATACTTTAAAATCCTGTGCAAGTCAAATCTGCACTATTTTCTTACTTTATGTAGTAAAACATCAACAATCATTTGTTCAGTTCAGAGTGGAGTCTTGTTTTATCTAACTGATAGATAGCTTTTCAAGCATGAGGAGTACCTCCAAATGATGCAGAGGAAACATTTTAGGGTTCATAAGCTTCATTTTGATCAGACCTAATATTTCACCAGTTTGGTGAACTTTGTTTCTTTCTACAATGTGATATTGACTGACTTGCTACATTATTCCTTTGGAAAAAATACTCATTTGGGCTTTGAAAGAGACATTTAACACACTTCAGCTTTATCTTAAATAAATATTTACCCTAAAAATAAAATTTAAATATAGCAATATCATATATAGTATAAGATATATATATATACTGGTTTCATTAATTGCCCGCCTTGAAAATTCTGGTATTTTTCAGTGCTGAGAATTTATGTTTGTATGTTCTGTTAGCATTAAGTGATGTTTACCTGGTTAAGATACAACTGTAAAACCACAAAAGAAATTTACATTTGTTTTTCCTCTCCTTGATTGGGGCAGCTCTGTCAGAAGCCAGAGCTACTGTAATTGTTTCATACAGTGTGTCCCCCTCTTCAGCAGAGCACTCCAGTTCATGATTGATTGTGATGGTGAGAGGCTTCTATAGAAAATGATCCAAGGCTTGCATTCATCTGGTGGTAAGGAAAAACATATTTGCTGCCTCAAAGTGCTTGGTCATTTTTATCACACTATGATTGGAATACATTCTTACAATTAGAAATTATGTTGAAAGCTCTCAAAGAAGCAAATAAAAAGGAAATAAGTCCATGTGATGTCACATCTACAATGTACAAAACACCACCAAGACCAAAGAAACTATGCTGATTTATACCAGGTGAGAATCTCCCCCAGTATCTAAAAGTCAATCTCAAAGCCACAGTTGGTAGGCTATTATTCTCAAAAATGAGTTCTCCCCTATGTTCATTATTCTGCCACAGCTGGTGTCAATATTGGTTGTTAGTCTCCAATGGTAGAATCATACCATGTCTGTCCTGTAGACTGCCATGAATGCTTGTGATACCACATCACCTGCAGGGCAGAGATTCTCATGAACTTAAATGTTTGTACAAAGTAAAGTAAAACCATTTTGGACGACTATATTTTTGTGTAATAATAGTAATTAGTAAGGGAAATCATGCACTTTGAGATTCAGCTGTTTCAAGAAACTGCATCAGAACTGAACACATTTCTCTGTCTTTTGTGGAAGTTTGTCATAATCAGCAAGGGAAATATTATTTACAAATTTTATAAATAATACACAAAACTAATCTCATTTCTGTAAAAATTAATCCTTCATGACACACCAATAGAGGGGATATTTTACCCATGTGTTTTTTCAAAATTTTTACTAAGTGCCACAAAATGTATTTGGGCTATTTCCTAAAAGGTTTTTTTTTCCCCTGATTTGCAACCTGATTTATTCTATGCCTTTATTTAAAAAGAAATAAAGCCCCTGGAGCAAATCATATGATTCATGATATAAACAATCAAAACTGAATACAATCAGCAAGACCTTGTAAAGAACAGCATGAAGTTGTCCCATATTAATTTCATCAAAAGATGCCTACAAGGAAGACAATGGGCTAAGATATGTCTGGTGTATGATGGATCTAAGTGTAAAACCATTTTGTTATCCTGCTTTT